CCAAACTCTCAAAAAATCTCAAAAATCTTAGCCTCAAAGAACACCAACACCTGCACCATGAATGTTACATTCATGTGAACCACTTTCGAAATTCAGAAATCAAATTCAAAATGTTTTTTGTTAATCTTCAGCGAGAAACTCGTCTCGAATGAAACATTGGCCGATCAAACGATCGCAGCAGCAATACCTGCGCCAACCATTGAGCCAATTACGTTTCTATCAAGTACCACTCGCAATGAGAATGAACAGAATTCGGGGGAGATTACAGGTAATTGCATAATGTTTTTGACAAAATTATTTAACAATAATTTAAGCAGAATGATGAAGAGATCTCAATTGCCGAAATACAAAATCAACAAAAAAACATGAATTCGAAATTCCTCATTGCAAGTCGGACCGAATTTCGTTCGTGATCAATTTCTGACGTATATTTTTCGCAATTTATCTACCAAGCCTCAAATATTTTGCTTACCATTACATTGTATCATATATTTTGTGTTCGGTGATTGGATATAATCAACTTTTATTACTGTATCAAAGATTTATTTTTGATTTATTATATGCACATACAAGCATCATACAAATAAGCATTTGCATACATTGCTGTACAGAAGGTCATAGTAGCAAAATGATCAGAGCTATTGTGTGCTTAGCTCAGTTTTTGAACATGCATACTGATGAACATGCGAAAATCTGAGCATTCCGACGAATGGGATGTTGGAATAAGCTAAGAACCACTTGTATGAAACCAATCACTAGGAATTCTTGCGTCCAATTTTCCTCGTAAACACAATAAGTATTGAATTATTTTACGGCTCACAACTTTACTTTGTTAATGATAAAATCGTTTAGGTCGGTTCAACTAGTCCAAAATACCTTTCTTACCTCATTTCACCGCTTTATAAAGATGGTTCAGTGGCCTAGTGTTTATTTTCCCCGAGTGTTGCCAATAAATCACTTCGAATCACGGAAGGGAAACATGAGCTTGAATTATTTACATTCTGAACTAGAATATTTTTGAGCACTATAATTTGTTGAGATCACATAAGAACCTCCAATGATACGTTTTCGTCCTGGAGAAGTTCTATCCGGGCTCAAGATGACTGCCTGGTCTCCGATGTTGCGAAACATTTTGGTCATGCGGGATTAATTAGTCTCAGCTAATATTCATTGCCACACTATCTTGCGGTTAATCACCTGAACGAAATTTTGCTCGAATGGCACCATCAAGCATTGTATTAGGGATAACTGCATCCAGAGATAAACATCTGTCCTAAAATCAACTTGAAATGACCGTAGTGAGCCGTGAAATTCCAGAATCGACACCCGTCACACCAGTTCAAGAGAGCTCAACAATAGCTGCTCTATCCACAACGTTGTCGAACGAATTCAGTGAAACCTCAGCAACAAATCTCCTGTCGCATTCGGAAGGCCAACCCTCAGACTCTCAATCTTATGACTCAGAATCTCAGTATCTCAGAACCTCAGAATCTGCTTCATCGAATCCACCATCCGCCGCATCGTCGGTGCTCCCCAAAAAGTCATCATATCCCATCGTACCATCAATGATGCCCCCTCGTACTCACCATCACCCTCATCACATCAGTAAACATTATCGTCCACGAATTCAACCCACCAATCGAACAAGGAGCCATCTGAAACACCGTCATCCACTTAAGGCATCGTCACCTCGAGCTCCCTATCAGAAACTTGCCACACCAGCTCAGCACATCAGGACTTTCCCTCGAATTCCTTAGTTCCTGTCTATATATTTGTTTTCATGTTCTCTATTGATCATTTCATCAACCTTTTGCAACTGATACATCGGAATGGTTCTTTTTTCGTATATAGTTCTCCCGAATCCATGAACACAACTGATGAATTTGTTTATCACTCAAATTCAACCGTATTCTTAAATCAAACCAATGATTATTTCAGTGATATGGATGAAATACTGTTTGCGACACCAACCACAACAGTAGCAACACAAAAATATGCTGCTGCAGCCATAACCAAAAGCACCAACAATGCAGGTATGGATCACAGAAACAATCAGAAAAATTGCTAGTTAGCTCCTCGTCGAAATTCGAATGAAACGATCCAAAAGAATCGGAAATGAGTGCCATAGCTAAAAGAACTCGTCTCTAGCTGAAATATTATTGGTTTCCCTTCTTCTCTTCGAGCGAATTCGGCAATGAAATGCACAATGAATGCAGCGAAATCAAATTTCTGCTGCACAAGGCAAAATCACCTCAAACTGGGATAGTTCTGCAATTCTCAGTGTCTAATCGGAGAGCATGAAACTTCAGAAACAAATGCATCTGAAACATATGGTCCATATGGTAGTATTCGTGAGAACGTAACCACAGAGAAGTATCCGGCGAAAGAAGCAGAAACTGAGAAAGAAGCGACGACCGAAGAAGTTCGAACAACAACTGTACCAGTTGAAGCAAGGTTCGTTGGATAGAACATCGATTGGATCTACTTGTTTGCGACCAATTCATCGATCGAATTGTAGCCTCATAATGCTTTCGTTTGGATCTGGCAAAATCATATTCATCAAATTAATGATTGATCATTAGGATCGCAAAAATTTACCAATTTACTCCTCGAAATTTGAAAGAAATGATTCTGAAAAATCAGAAAAGAGTGCAATTTCATGTATGTACATGTAAACAGCGTGTGTGAAAATCGTAACATCTATTGAACATCAAATTTGACTTTTAATAGAGTGATTTTTGACTTTTAACACCTATTTTATTGAAATCAATTTATGAAAAAGTGTATGCGAATTTCTTTCTATTCCTATTTTTTCACGGTTACTGATATTTTCAAGGAGATATTTCAGCGAGAACAATGAAACCGCTCTCAGTGAGCCATC